ATGACTATCTTGTCCAAACAGTTTGAGGTGTAGAATAATTTAGATGGATATTGATTTATTTGATCACTTCAGGTCACATATTCATCAATCGTCAATCATTTTAGTAATTAATCATACAGGCATTAAGTTTAGAACGCGATAAAATTTGACATAATAGTGTTATTTAAACAAATTGGATTTTTAGTTTATCAGTGTCCCTATGTTATTAGAAATGGAGTCAATACATTTGAAAACAGCCTCTTAAGAATCTAATATCAATTTTATAATTATTTAAAATGACGAAGAATTAAACTATTATTTTACTTCAGATTATTACTGTTCAGAAACACGGACTAAAATCTATAGTCGAGGGTACTTACTTACTTAAAATAAACTACAAAGTCTTTACTTTCAGTAACTGAATAAATCGAATAATCACTGGGTAGTAACTAACAACCTTTTCAGTTATTCTCCATCGGTAATCGAATCCCACCATCTAAGCTAAAACGCAGTCATCAAACCAAGTGATCTGACATCACTTGCATTATGTTTTGATTTTAGGCGATTGGTATACAACTGGCTGAAAACTTTTCATGATAGTCAGCATTCATCAGCTAGGTGTACTCGATGATTTCAAAGTTGGAGAGTTATACAATTACTTTTGTATGATGATTGTAACAAAGTATAGATAAATTTCATCACTTCACTGTTAAAGATATTGAATTAGAATTTGTTAGATTTAACAATCGTATCAGTTACAACCACACAGCACAGGCAAAATGAAAATAATGTACACGGGTTCAGTTGTTCTGATGCGCCAAATTTAGAACAATTTGAATTTGAGTTTTAATTATAGCAATTTAACAATTCATTCCTTAAAAATTCCCGTTTCCTCAAATATATACAGCCGACAATTTTTAAAAAGAAGAACCAATTAATCATTTAAAATTGTGAAATGTTTACGTTGTCTGAAAAAATTATAATGCAACAACCATGGAAAAGACTGCAAGAGAAAGGAACATGAGACACTAGTATGATACAACAAGGAAACTCGCTGGAAACTATCGTAAACCAGAACGATCAGTGAAAATCAAGAAATAGTGCAATAATTATCAACACTGAAGAACAGAAAAACAGGTGGGTGGAGCACTTTAAGCAACTCTTAAAACATCCAACTCAGTCGAACCAAATCAACATCAAAGCACGAACCTCCCAACTGACGTTGGCCCACCAACAATTGAGAAGATTAGCATGGCCATCTGACAAATCAAAAGCGGCAAACCTATGAGTCCAGCCATTCAAAGCAGTCGTGGCAGCAACTCTGCCTAGGACAGAGCAGTTTGGAGAATCCTGGTAAGTGGCCTATGCTCCATTGGAGGTATTAGGCGCAATTACAATTATTACAAAAGTTGAATTGTTTGTGTATAAACCTGTATTCACCCGCGTTTTGAAACGACGCATGACTGTGTACTGAAGTAAAATTCGGTAAATAAACACAGATTCCAATGGAGGGTATGATTAAGTGATCTTTTTGTGCACTTTTTCATTTCACTTATTCGGCTGTGAGCACATTTCGCATCTAAGTATGCTCTAACTATAGATTTTAGAAAACCAAAAAATTAAACCTTTGAAATATGACTAGACAATACTGAAACCAACTTTCGATTTGCGTTGAAATAACTGTCGAATAGCATTTCTTTGAAAATAGGAATTTAGTTCTATGAATTTTTCCAAACATCGATTGATTAGTACGTTTTTAATAGACAATTTTAGAAGCTATCAAACGTATTATACCATACATGAGTCTAAGTAATTGATTTCCTCATAGCTTGTTGGATTTTTTAAAATGTTATGTTATGCTTCGTAAGCATTGATTGAATCCATTCATAACATAACATGTTCTAATGCGTTTTTTTTTTATTTCAATCATATACAACAGATAGCATTTAAAGAATATAGAAGTCGATAAATTATTGCATTCAAAATATAACTGACCTGATTTTATTTCAATAAATAATATTAGTTTTGCAATTATTGTCGAGAAATCCTTAACATGAAGCCAACAAGAATGAACTATGTACACAAAAAAAGATTGATGCAAGGTTGTCCAACCCAACCTTTTATCTAATAATTGACTCTTTTCATTGGATAACTAATTTGACAGATTTGTGAGTGAATTTAAAGTTTAAATTATATTTATCAGATACATATATTTAAATAAAAATATGGCGGTTATGGGCACTGTTCATATCAAGGAACATGTCACATCAAAGAATGACTTTAGCTAAGATGCGGTGCATGGAGTATTCATCTAATATGGTCACAGGTGAACAGTCAGTATTGATGAAACTCCATGACTAAACTAAAACAATAAACATATTCGTCACTACCTAATTTAAAACGGTTGCCATTACAAATTTAGTTTCTATATTTTACTTTCATAGTTTTGAAAGTGTTAACTTGTAAACATACATCTATCTATTTATAAACTGTCTAGCTAGAAAAAATATTACCTCTGTAATCTTTACAAAAGACAAATACGATAAAAAATAGAATTATCATTACTGTTATTATTACTCTTCTTTTAGTTAATATCAACATCGTATTTAAATCTGAAACATTTTTGTAAGTATGAAAAAAAATGTGATGAACAATCTGAAATGCTAATAGTTTTGTCTTTGTTAATAATGATAAATAACAAATAATGTTTTTTTTTTCTTTGGATTTCAACTAACTATCTCACTTCAATATACAAATAAACATGTTTGCTATACTGACTTCAATCAGTAACTTAAGTGATAAGAACAAAGGTGTAAAAGAAGTTTTGACTAGCCGAATAAATAGTGCAATAACTACACTCCATATGTTTAAGCATATAAGCTTCCTATCAGAAATTCAAGCCACACTCTATTTCTGTCTTTAGAAAAACAGATATATTTTGCTGAATTGCATCATTTAAACATTTAGCTAATATTTGATTTCTTCACTGTGACATGGCAGAAACAAAATGTCTAAATTTTATTTGTACATAATCAGTTCAAGCACATAGATGACTTTCACTATCCTAAACATTTGTTGACGTCCATACTCCTATGTAATAGATATGATTGATATTGATGAGTTATTTTTATCTCCCCGCCTACTCTCGAGAGAAATTTCACACTTTTAATGTGTAGATGTAACTTTCTTTGCATATGCCAACTCTTGGCAAGTGCTATCCATTCCATTTACATCTTTCTCCTTGTATGTCTAGGAAAAGATGGCCAATACATTAGAACCAGTGAATGCAAACAAAGGTATAAAAAAACTCCACAATATTTTAATTAGCAAATATTACTATAAGACAAATGGATGGTAAGAACTGAGCAGGTCTAAACTTCTGTTCCCAAACATATTCCTAATTAAAGAGTTATATAGCATGCCAAAAAACAGACATTTCATTTTAACGCCAGATAGTTTGTCTACTTGGTTTTCTAATGCATATATGTTTGCAGTTAATGATTGGTTTTTTGTTTTCTTAAAGTTACCTTGCTGAAATATACGCCGTGCTGAGAATTCCATGTTGTGTTAAACATTGGCAAGTGAATAAAGCCAATATCATTACTAATACCATCAACCATTTTCTGTTTTTATGTGTTTTGTCTTTGTGTATGCATGTACTCACTAATTAATTGTCTATTTTATATTTAAATTTCAACACAATATCAATTTGCTAGTCGGCTGATTTAGGAGTTCTACACTTCACGTTTTTATCTTTTCTGTCATATTCCTAATAACATTTCATAATCGACTCGTGGTAATATGTTGTGCAAACGTGATCAGTCCCATATTTTTTACGTAGTTAATTCAAAAAATATGTTTTTATGAGAGATGAGTCGATAAAACTGGTGATCACTGTTTAACCAAACAGATTTGAATGCCAGACGGCTCAATAAAGAATACAGGAGTTTACAACTATCCACTTCAGACAAGAGTGATATAATGTTTGTATATTACTCAGCAGATAAATGAACCAATTTCCTTAAATAAGAGTAAGATAACAAGAATTATTAAACCAAAGTGAGCTTAGCTCCAAAGAATACTAAAATCTCCTAAGACATTCGCTGCCAGTGTAACTCGCCAAACACCTCTCTGGTTATGAATCCGGATAACATGGGACTGAACTATCCAGAAAACGTCATTTTCCTCAAGACTACGGGTACACTTTTCTGACGAATGTCAAAGGCAGTATATTTTAAACATTTTTGGCATTTCTTATACTGCTAAAAAAATTAACCTTGGCCAATGTTATTTGAACCTTTAGGATAGTCTCATTTCTAAATATCGATAATTGTATATTATTCAACATTTTAGTTGAAGTAACTCCGTTAAATCATTATTCAATTCAAATTTCATTGCTGTCTGATACTTTTACAGGTAACCAATCTAAAGTTTCATTAATGGCAGAATTTCTCATGACTTCATACAATAGCTTTTATAAAATAATTGACATCCAGTTGGTTAATAGGCCATGCACACTTTCATATATTAGGATGCATTAGTTCACATCTTACAATCCAAACAATTCGTGATGTTGTGTAACAAATGCTGCCATCAAATTTTATTGTTACTTACGGATTTTATAGCAAATATAGTTACGAGAAGAAGAGTTATTTGGAGCTACTCAACAATTTTCTGTTTTCAGTAATTCTTCAAAGGACTTTGATGAGTGATAAAAATGGACAAAGTAATGATAGCAAAGTTAGTAAATAAACCTAAACTCTTTTTCAACGAAATCCCAATAAATAATGTCATCGGACGTCATTTTTATAGGAAAGGAATAATGACAACTGCCCGAATAGATTACTTGTCTAAATGCTACTTCAGAAGTGATAATGTTAATCTCTTCAGTTTTTTGTGATGATTTAGGTTAATGGCGTAACTTTTTGACGAAAAACAGGTTAATGGTGCTTATTTCATTTGTGATAAATTACCAATATTATTTTTTTAGAAAGAAAGTTTAATGATCATTTTTATCCAGAAAAAAACATTGATTTTCTAAGCAAAACATGTACATTTCACGAGTCCACGATAAAATAAAACCTTGATAAGTAAAAACGAGGTCCAATCGTTATTGCTTGCTGTCTGTTTTGCACAAATAGTAACAATAGCACGTCATTCAAAAATAAAGCCGTAGACACACACTCACACTTAAACAAACATTCTTTGGTAGCTTTTTTGTTTCATGATCACAGATAATATGAAGTTACAAATAAGCTAAGGACAATTGAGAAATAAATGAACACAAAATTTACAGGCAACTTATAGGAGTATAACGATGCTATTTTTTCTTTTTAACTCTATTGATAAAAATAATCAAGAATAAATGATTGGCTTGTTTTTTCATTCTCTGCAAATAATGAAAATGAGAAATTTTTTGTCAAATTAAACACAAAAGCTTTAAACAGAAATCATGGAAATAATTTAAACTCTAAGGAAACCAAACAAAAGCAGCAAAATCGCACACATAAAACGTAAAATCTTAGTTAAAATAACCAAAATCCAGGTGCTCTTGCTTCAGTGATAAACGGGGACTATTGTTGTTACTCTCTCGTGTTGCATTAAGATGAACAGTTGATGAAGTGGTACTGGCATCTCTTGGTAGAATAACTCCTATTGTTTTTAAGGATGATGATGGAGGAGAGGGTAATTGTCTGCGTTGTCTTGGTTTGGATGTCCCAACATCTTCTAGACATGAACTATGCCGACGCCAATGTTGATTTGAAGATAAGTCATCATTTATACTTAAATAGTTTTTATCTGTATTATTACTATCGGCATTTAAATTTTCATTGATAATTACTGACGGTGTTAAGAAATGTTTGATGTTTGGTGAATTAGTCAAAGAATTTCCAGAATATGTTGAATTATTTGGTGATATTGATCTTTGTTTCGAAGTTGCTTTAATCATAAATGAATCTTGAAAATATGATTTAGGTGGGGATAATATTTCGGATGATTTTCTCAAATGAGCTAATTGTTTTGATCCTGATAATCTCCGTTCATTGTCTTCATTTTCTCTAGATGATGTGGACAACTGAACTGTTCTTTGTTTGGCTAAGCGTTCATTTGCCAGATCCTTATTATTTATATCTCTCCTATAATTTGAAAAATTATGAACATTCATAAGATTCTGTTTAAAATTAAAAGAAAGGCCACACCATAAAATGTAGACTTAGAATGAGATTTATTTGAATCATAGATATTTCATTCGTACTGATGCTTCACTATTATTTTATACGCAAATTCTCAAAAATAAACAAAATTATACCATAAGCACCAAAATCTTGTCCTAAAAATTAAATTTAATAGTTTGTTTGAGAACCAGTAATTAAGCTATTTTATGATTGAATCATGTAAATCAAATAAACACCAAGAAACAATCAAAACCAATGAATATAGTCCAATTAATGTTAAATTTCTCCAAGGAATAACATTTACCGCAGATCCACTGAGAACCAGAGTAACAGAAGTTTTTTAAGTAGTTATTATAGACTCTTCACCAGAGCTCTTTTATAAGCAACTCAGGTGGAGCCGGATTTTATTGAACACACATTCACACTGTGTCCGGAGGTTTGTCAAGCCTTCCGATGAACTCAAGTGAATTGGGTTCGCCTCGTGTTTTGCTTTCGAATTCATAACTTTCGTACACGCATTATACAATTTTCTAAGACCTACTGTTGAATTTCAGTTTATATCAATGAGCAGTTGAACATTTAAGTTACTGTTATTATTTACAGTAACTTGAAAACATACTTCTATAAATCCAAGTTTTACGCAAAGATAAAATAAGTTATACGTGTAAGAATCATCACAACTATATTTCTTTTTAATATTTGTAAATTCATCATCATACGATGGAAAACGTTTATACTCATAACTTTTGACAAATGTAACTGTTGAATTGGAAGTATTACCAAATTTATCATAAATGAATTGAAAACATTGATAACTCTAATGGTATTTTTGATTCTTTCACACAACGGAATGAAATATTACGTTCAAACGACAGTCAGCTAATTTCAAAGTATATATATATATAATTCGTTACTCACTAAATCATGTACTTCTAAATCAATAATTTATACGCTACAATTTTAATTTTGGTATGCAGATATATATTATATGTATATTTAAAAATTTCTTAAAGACAAAGATACGTTATTTATTTTACGCATAATATTACGCACTTTTGTGTTATCGTGTGAAGAAACTTTTTCTTAACCTTTCTCTTCATCAAAATGAAACATAAGAGTGTGCAATCGAAGACTTTGAAAAATTCAATTTTATCTTAAATTTCAAAAACCAGTTTCATTAACTAACTGTTTAATCAGTAACTTTTTATTTTATGTTAGATAAGACGTCAAGCTTATTAACTTAGTAAATAATAACAGTGAATTCATTTATTGACACACGTCGTTTGAGCATTGAAACAAATGACTCATGTATTAAAATCGTAGACATGAATTAATATTATTATTATTATGTAAACATTTAATTATTAATACAAAGAGGTACCTAAACATATGTGCGCCGCACAAATGAACAGATTTGTGTGTTGGTCGGAGTGCTGTCTGTTTGCTAACACTGAAGCAGACAAACCAAAGTCTTCTTAAGCTGAACAATACTTAGAAACGTATCATTTCTAATTTACTATATTTATTATTATTAGATGAATTCAGTTAAAAGTATAAGACTTATTTGAATATGGACCCAGAATTAGCCAGGAGAGATTCTGTTTTATTCCAGCTATGGAAGAGAAAATGCCACACACACAATTATTTGGAGGACTTATGCTACCCAAAGATGCTCAAAAAGCACTTACTGGATGGTAATCTCATGGACCCAGGATCATTAAAGCATCCTTCAAGAGAAAGGACGACAGGATAACAATGAATGTTATTTAGTGCCGTGTGCCAACCAATGACAACAATGAAGACAGTAAAGTCCAATTCTATGAGAGGCTGCAGTCAGTCGTCGAAAAGTGCCAAGCAAATGTTTCGACCATTCTGACGGAACATCTAAACGACAAGGATGTAATGGACAACACTGGATATGAAGACGTTATGGTGCGACACAGACTGGGAGTAAGGAACGAAAACAGTGACAGGTTCATACAACTAGGAAGAGAGAACAACAGGAATGGGAAGAAAGAAGCAATAACTCTAGCATGTCATGAGGATTTGGGCCATAAGAACCACCATCACAAAGAATGCATCTCTGTTGACACTCTGCATACCCTGAATTCAAGAAAGAAAGAACAGGAAAACAGCAATCAGTACCAACCAAGGCACAAGCTGAATACACAGAAGCAAATAAGCAAGTGAAGTGAAACATTATGGCAGGTAAACAGAATCCTGGGTAAAATTGAGTCATGATAGCAGAAAATGCTGCAAGAGAGGGAAGTGTGAAACAACTATATGATAACAACGAAGAACGTTGTTGGAAAATATCGTAAACCAGAATGACCATTGAAGGTAAAGGAAGTCAAAGCAATCATCGACATTGAAGAACAGTCAGCACCTTGAAAGCGCTTGAATTGATGGACCCCAATGAACCTACCAAACATCGAAGCAACATTCACAGACCTCCCAGTTGGTGCTGATCCATCAACATTTAAATAAATCTGCATAGACTTCAGACTAATCGAGAGCGGCAGAACAACAGGACCAGACAACATTCCTGCAAACGTACTGCTAAGATACTCCACATTCTCTTCAGCGTAATTCGGGATGAAGAACATGTACCAAAAGATCGGCAAGAATGACACCTCAATAAGATACCGAAGAAAGGTAATCGCGACAAGCATGAGAATTATAGTCATCAGTTTGCTCTCAATACCAGGAAAAGTGTTTAATAGAGTTTCGCTGAACTGAATGAAAGATTCTGTAAATAATTAACGTCGAGATCAGTACGCTGTATTCAGTAAGGATCGTGACACTACGGATAATTGTGGAACAACCAAACGTATGACACTCACCACTAGACATCAACTCCCTTGATCACTAGGAAACACTTGATAGTGTGGACAGGATGGTGATATAAGGACTTCCTCGAAACTATGGAGTGCCTGAGAGGATAATCAACAGTAAATGTAATTCTTTTGATCTATTAGACCGCAAGATAATGCGTGGAGCAAAGCTAACAGACTCGTGAAGACCAGTGTCATAAAAGATTTCATAATCTTGTAGCACCTCACAAATAACTATATGTGTAGGTGCTAAGTATTGTCCAAGCGTACAATGATAAAAGTACAAGATATATGTGATGCGCTACAATCTTACCCTTTTTCTTTCTCCTGATGATTGATTGGATTATGAGTGAGAAACGAAATATAGTGAAAAGCTCAAATTCAGCTAGAAGATTTAGTGGCCCAGCTCTTCTGTTTAACACGCGAAACTAATGCAGGAGGATAAGACGCCGCAGCAATAGCTGTCAACATACAATACGAAATGAACTGACCTGATCACACTTGACGTAGAAGCTCTGAAACATGCCGAAACATAACTTGGCAGCAGACACAACTGTGAAGATACGTATGAGCAAAACAAGGGCAACATCTTTACAATTGAAATATATGTGGAACTTCAAAAAACTAATACCAGAGTAATAGTTTTCAATACTAACGTAAAGTCATTTTCATTTCATGGAACGTAAAGAACTACAAAAGTTATCATCTATACGACACAGGTGTCTATTAACAGTTGTATACTCAAGATGCTTTGCATCCGTTGACCAGACATCGTCAGCAACATTCGACTGTGATAAAAGACAAACCACATTCCAGATGAAGAATAAATTAAGAAAACGTACTGGAGACTGGTAGAAAACACATTGCAGAAGTCACACAACTTCATCACAAGAGAGATGCCCTAACTTGAAATTGTCAAGGAAAAGAGGAAGATGGAATGACATATTACTTTGAGAATCGGAGGCAAACATGAAAAGAATGAACAGCACTTGTGTAGAACTGGATAGGAAGACTCAGAACGGATCAGGTTGAACAATGCTGTTCGGCGACCTATGCTACATTAGGAGTAACAGAAGTATGTAAGTACTTAAATATGGTTAATTTCATTGTAACATAAACATTTTCGAAATAATTTACGCATTTTGGAATGACTGTACATAGACATCTTCACACAGATATTATACAGAACATTTCATCGAAATAAGTTTTGCAGAAAAGAAAAGGTCAAACCGATATTTTACTTAAACTACAGAAATAAAATTGAAATCTTACAAAAGATTATAACGTTGTATTGCAACCAACTCATCGTAATTTTGATAATCACCTCTACATAGAATGTGAGAATATAACCATTCAATACGTAAAGTAATTGCATTATCACTTGGACGAGAATATCCAAAATTTGAACTACACACCTAAAATGAAGTTACAAAACGTAAATTAATTAGTATTAAATAAAAATATTGATACTTCTCAATAAATAATCACACTTCATTGGAGTGTAACCCCTTAAATTATAGATTATATTAGCCATAGTATTTCCACAGAAAAAAACAAAGTAATAATTAAGCTTGGAAAGTGTGTTCCTCCATATTTCATCGATCAATACTCAGAAAATGGAGAGCGCTTGATGATGCATTAGACATAACGGTTAGAAGCTCATAGTTTAGATGTTTATTTGAACGCAAAGTTGTGTTTCAGGGCTATTCATCAGTTAAAAACGACCTAAATTTTCATTAGTAATGTTATTATTTCACAGGTGCGATCATTGGACATTTAATGGATAGTGGACAGGTGAATACCTTAAAAGTATTCAAAATGTTAAACAGGTAACGTGCACCGCCTTTATTCCGTTTTGTGGGAGCCACTACCATAAAGCGCTTCCGACCTGACCTTTGCTCACAGAAAGTGTGGTAAACTTATCGTTCCCATGGTAATATAGTCATACTATCTAAACGCTTATCAGTTAAATTATCTCATCATTAGGACTCATAACTTAGAGTAAAACTACCCATGGACATTCAGTCTTTAATGTTGTGTTAAATAGGTGACTCTTTATCATAATTCACTTACTTACTATATTTTATACTATCTTCTACAATTTCAACCTTTTCTCCTTTATTCTAATTGATTTCATGTTTAATGTATATAAACACACACGAATCAATCTTAACTTTGATGTTCAATGTGTTATTTTCTTTTACGTGTTTTTCCTCTGTTAGTTCTTCGTAAACTTCACTCATTATGATATGTAATAAAACATCTGTAAAATAACGTTGCAAATGTAAATTTAGGCCGTTGATGAGGTCGATAAAAAGTCCTGTAATATAACAAATTCATTTTATTCTGCGTATATTGTTTTCACTTTATTTAAATTTATTAAGGAATTAGGTTGTATGAAATGAAACGATAGACATGCTTGTGGTAGATAACTTTATAGGGATTCGAAATAACTACCCAGATAAATACACCAATACAATTATATAAATGGATAGGACAAAGAAACAATTATGTAAGCCAACAAATCTATGATTATAGAATAAGAGAACTATGATAATAAGCATCGGAAAATAAATAAAACCATGATTTGAATGAACTGTACCTAAAGAAGGAAGATCAAACATTTCATATCGTTATTATGATAAATTTAAAGTTTCATAAATACCTCACTTGATTAGTTATCCAAATGTTTGAAACTAAAATAAATAATGTAAATTCACTTTCATTGTTTAGAATACTGAAGGTGATGTCTTTCACTGAAACAAAGAAAATGATAGTCTCCATTTAATTTGAACCCATATCATACAATTCTTCGAAATTAGGATTTGAATTATGGTTTTTGATACTTAGGTTAACTTGTACTGAGAATGAAATATTAACAGTGACTAAACACTGAGCAGTAGTGATTGTTAGGAATGCCTAAAGCTCAGTGCTAATGATTTGTTTTTAATGACAAACAGTAACCTTTTAAATGGATTTAGTAAATGTTTCTATCCTAATGTGAAGCAGAACTATTGCTGGTATGGATGAATATTCAAGGATAACGAATATTTATCTTACATTTTAATCAGATTACTACTGATTCATTTTATTATGATTCATTTGAAATTTCTATAGAAAAGATTAATTTTGCATGCAAGCGATGCACAGTTTTATCCTGACTGTGACATGTCAGCTTGATATATACCTACATTCCAGTGTTAGTTTTCATAGTGGAACTCAAATCTAATGCCTTCATCCCCAAACAGCAACACATTTTTCACGTGTTACAGATTTCAAAGTGTATTAAATACACATCAATACAGTTATGAAAAATAAATATTTTGTTTGTTATATTCGTTTTGTCAGTCAACTTATTGGTGGAATATGTTCCGTTGAAGTGTCATAGATTTTCAAACGATACTTATTTTAGAGTTCTATTAAATTTACTCGACAATCAATTCATATCACATAGTTAATATCAATGGATAATCTGAGTCAGACAGTGAGAGGAATCTGCGAAACATCATCCAGAATTCGTGACCGGTTTAGTTCGACCATATAGAATGTGAATGTAGTTGTTACCTGGTGATAAACGATTTCTGTGTTATATCACAAATGGATTGAAATTTGACATGTAAACTATTGGAAGTCGACTTAATGATCCAGTTAGGTTAAGCGATGATCATGAGACTCGGTGTTTGTACGATTTCAATGAATTATCAAATGAAGTTCATCATCATCATCAAATTTAGCAATTTTCACAAATCTTTTATTGTGATCATTGCTTATTTAATTTAAATTGATTAAAAAATCTCATAATCTATCATAGTTAACAAAATAAAAGAAGAAAACATTTTGATTATTCACAGACGGCATATAAAGTATCCGAGATTGCAACAATTGTATTTTTATTGATTGATTTATTTATTTCCGGAAGAATTTATGAAATGGAATAAATTTCATTGAAATGATTTATTAATATTTATGACATTTGATTTATTTCCAGAATCTATTTATTGATAATTAATGATAAAATAATGAAAAAGTTTTCTTTTTTTCAAATGAATTTATTTATTAATTTTTTTGGTTGTTTTTTTTCACAACTTGTCATGAAGTGTTGATTTTAATAATTATTTTATTGAATTATTCCATTTCACCGTGAAGTTATTTTAGCAATTAAATAGACATAATATAATAATATTGATTTGGGAAAAAAATTGGTATCATACTAAAGAATTTTGAAATTATTTATTAACTGAACTTTTGATTTTTGAACAGTTTACTATCTTCAAATTTCAGGAAAAGAAAACGCATAACAATCAGTTTTTTGCATCAAACAAAAACTTGCAAATTTGTTTGTTTGTTTGTTTCCTTTTATGAATAAAAACTAAGACAGAATAACAGTATTAATCAAATGACTATAATAAAAAGCATATAAGGCGAAGTCATTGACATGGATAGCGCAACGGATTAAATTATTTTGCATTATATTATACACTATTGTCACAAATTTCACCACATATATGGTTGATTGTAAGCAGACGATAAAAGAAACAATGTCATGAATTAATAATAAGCTGCCTTAACTGTTTGGCTTAATTTGGAAAGCTTTACAATTAAAGAAATATAAAAATATTATATTTTATGTATTGATTAAATGTAGAACAAATAAATAATATTAATAATAATAAATTCAGATAGAATCATTTGGAAACTTCGTTGTTGTTTTAGATTTATCTTGAAATATTAATTTCGTATTACATAATTGATAAGTCACATTCATTATGTTTATATTTATTATGCAACTTACTAACTAATATTCTCCTAGATTAAACTAGCAGAAACAATCCATGAGAATAAAAGTTACATATCAGCATAATTATTACGTCATTTCAGTAAGTATTTTATTTCCTAAAGATATAGTTAAAGATAACTTAAAATAACATGAGATTAGCTGTCATACAAATGGCAACGTTTAAATGATCCTATTCCCAGTGTAACTCTATGTTTTGGTAAGTAACTTAGGAAATATAAATAGATATATATTAGAACTAATACAGATTTGTATAATCTACATGGACAAGATCATGTATTAAGGGTATATTATTGATCTGTATGTGAATAAAACCATTATCGCTACAAACAAACAAAAAACAGTTTAATTAGTCAGTATATCTGGAAATGTGTGCTTAACCATTCTATAATTCACGTATGAATTTAAATGTTCCCAGTTATCATTGAGACATTAGACATAAATTCATATGTCTACTTTTTCATTCCTTTCATGGCAATAATTTTTCGGAATGTCTTTTTCTTTAGCGAATTAGTTTCCTATGAGATAGGGTTGCTAACCCCATATTCCTTTGTCTATGACTGAGATTGGCATTTACCCTAGAGGGCCTCCAGCTGGAGTTCAGTTGGAACATCAAGACAGTTCTCTGGTATGGAGCGGAAACTTAAAGAACTACAAAAGTTATCATCTATACGACACAGGTGTCTATTAACAGTTGTATACTCAAGATGCTTTGCATCCGTTGACCAGACATCGTCAGCAACATTCGACTGTGATAAAAGACAAACCACATTCCAGATGAAGAATAAATTAAGAAAACGTACTGGAGACTGGTAGAAAACACATTGCAGAAGTCACACAACTTCATCACAAGAGAGATGCCCTAACTTGAAATTGTCAAGGAAAAGAGGAAGATGGAATGACATATTACTTTGAGAATCGGAGGCAAACATGAAAAGAATGAACAGCACTTGTGTAGAACTGGATAGGAAGACTCAGAACGGATCAGGTTGAACAATGCTGTTCGGCGACCTATGCTACATTGGGGTTAAGAAGTATAACTAACTACGTCCGTGATATATCTGTCAGTTTCCAACATAGGTATACCTTGTTTAATGAAAGTAATTTACGAAGTAAACTGAATTTAACAGGATGAATATCTTAAACATGGCAGTCACCGGTAATGCATACTCACAACCTATCGGGAAGTAAATGTCGACACTCTGGTTAACGTCGCTGGAAGGTTATCTTCAAGCCATTTTGTGCTATAAAATTTTCATATCAGTAAAAATATTTTATGCTCACGTAGCCAACTCTATCAGATCTCTTACATTATTTATTCTGTAACTTCTTTATTTTGTTTCAATGGTACAGATAGATCACAATGCATTGGTAAATATTATTGACTGAAAAAGAAATCTATATCAAATCTTTTCAATATAAATCTCAACAAAAGTTTCAAAATTTTATCACAAACATTAGCAATCATAGCGTTAAATTTTAGTAAAATTCACAATTTTAATTAGTGTGTGTTTTTTGCGATGTTTGCAGAGTTTACATCATTTTGTGTGATTCATATTAATTTATAAATTCAGTAATTTTTGGTAAGATAACTGATCTTATTATCTCAAACACATTATTATTTTTCTCACATTCAGTAATCGATATATATTTCGATGAATAACGTCATGGTTGAGAAAGATCTACAAACCAATGCAAGTAAATGATTATGCTAGTCATTCAAACATTTTTGACAATGGTACTTACTCCTTAACTATGCCAGGAACCGCTTTAATCTATTTGCATGTTATTTTGTTCAGCTATGGGATTAGGATTCTCCTATTTCAATGCATAAAATGATTCTCACAATTTGTAGTGTACTATATTACATTATTGACAAAAAAGGCAAATTTTGGGAGTTGTTCAGTTATACATTTTTAATGCATAAATAGTCTTATAAACATTTGACAAGTGTAATTTTTCAAAAAATGATTGAATTAAATCAAAGTAAAAGAATTCGACAACTGTAGAATAGCATATTCTATAATATATTACTTTATGTCTACTTGTAACGAATTAACCTTTATCATTTCATCAAATAATTTTAAGACATGAAAGCATCAAACTACTGATTTGATTAGTATTCATGATTTTTTTCTAAAGTTAATCAAAATGAATCATTGATAATCACCATTGGCAAAGAAAATAATAACACTGTAAGTATCCATTTTAAATCAGTTTCAATACAAATAATATAACACAATATACAAATGTATAATTTTAATAAAGAATAAATTCACCTTTTCAACATCTAAAGGTAGAACAACTTCTTGATATTGTGATTTAAAGTTTTGTTTCATCATTGTCTGAACAGTATTACCTACTGAAGTGTAGATAACATTGAATGGACTCATTGATTTGACAATGTTTAATGTTTGTTCATATGGTATTAGTTGGACTGACCATGCAGTTGATCTCACTTCTAAATTTAATTCACTTTCATTATACTGTGTATTAGAATCTTGTGAAATAAATAATTTTAAGTGAACAAATGTTCCTAAAATATCACTCATTAAAATCCATTCTATACCATTTGGATCTACAAGATGTGCACAATTTCTACCACCTTGAGGAGATGTCGGTATTAGATTAACTAAACTGATATGAGTTACAGAATGAAAATCAATTTTAACACTTATTCTATGTTTTGCAGTAATAACAGGTGAAGAACTATTTGCGAACCATTTTAATTCACCAAGAGGATAAGGTTTTGTTGTAGCACCACTTTCTGGACTAACTAGATGATCAAATGGTCCAGAAGTAGATTTTCCTGAATCATGCCAATTTACATGAAGTATATATTTTAATCTTGAACAGTATTTAGGTGTACTATGCCTTTGAATAAAACACTTGGGTCTGTTGTCATTTTTATTATGTATTCGTGATTTATCGTGTAAATCATTCCAATCTATTATAAAACTCCAATCATCTCCAGCAAATGAAAATGTAGTTGATTCCAGTGATCTACAACGTAATGCTTCTTTAGAGTCTCTAGGTACACGAAGTTGTTCTTCATAAATTGTAATAGCTTCTTGCAATTCCACTTCTAATATACATGTAGAATCATCAAACAAATAATGTTCATTTGTAAGTAGACCATTTTCAATCCATGAAGACTTTTTATGTGATAAATTTGAATTTTTAAAATGTACATCTTCTAATTCATGTACTAAATTTAATGTATAATATTTTTGATGTGGAATAGTGAATCGTACACATTTTAATCGACATAACATTCCATTTGAAATATTACATAAATTAATTGAAACACCTAATGGTTGTTTACGATATTGTATAAAATGCACATCATCTTTGCCATGACCATATTCATTTGTTTCCTTATAATATTCCATACGTATAAACCAATAGTGACCGGCATAATAGAATTCTTTAGATTGTACACTTTGTATAAAACCTTTAGTTAATTGTGATGGTACAATAAATGAGAAGATTTGACTATCATATTGATCAGCAAGTTGTATAACTCTGTATAATTGTAAACTGGACATTTTATTTGATGCTATCAAATGATTAGGCATAATTAGTAATTTTGTTCTACTATATAATAATCATAATAGTAATAATAATAATGAATAAAATATTCGCATGTTGAAATATTTTTATTCAATGTCTTATATGTACAAATGAAATAGTACGCTGAGCTATATCCCATATCACTTTTGTAAGCTTGAATAGCTTACCCAATAGGAAATTTTCAAAACTCAATGTCTGATTGGTTAATAGCATGAGTTTACATTCCCTTCCATAGTACTCTAAAGGTGATTTTTAAAATGAGACATTTTTTTCGTGAAACTCATGTAACCTAAAATCGGTTAGTGAGTCCTTTATCGATAGAATGAAAATATACATTGAAAATGAATAAAAATATTACACGATTTTTGAATGTGGCACAGTGGTTGATTGACAAAAGTTTCGCTTAATCACATCCTAATAATCATTGAATAGGAGTTTATTGAGTAGTTATAGTAATCAATAGGAAAAAAAAGACATTTAAATAGTTTTGTCCATTGTTACTAATTAACATTTAAGGTTTATATTTCTTAATATGAAATAACTATCATTGTGCAAAAAACATTGAAACCGATAATTTAAAAATGCACAAATTTTAAATACATCGAAAGAAGAACATTTTTAGATATAATCGTTATAAGTACTTTTGTTAATGATTTTTAATTACAATAGTGATTAATCCATGCTCATTAATTAGCTCGTTTAATAAATACTTTGTTTAGATGTTTGTAGGTTTGTACATTATTTCTGATGCCACTGAAGGTATCGATATTAGAATAATCATATATCCATCTGGCTAGTTCTAACTAGAACGAAACATTCCACTAATACTAGCCTTTCGGTAGATAATTGACAAATCGTTGTTATAAAAAAATGCCACGTAATTAAGTGGGCATTTGTATTTCTAACTTTTCATTATTTTAAACTTATTAAAATTGTATTCATGAATAAAAAAATCCGTTGTCTCAAATATTAACAAGAGATTACCATTCAAAAGAATTCGGATATCTCATAGTTGACAACATTGACTGATTTAACTTAGACTGTAATCGAAAACCAGGAGGCATTCGATAGTTATTTTGTCCTATGCAGTGATAATTTGCAGTCCCATCACAGAAGATGAAATCTAAAATTTCCATGTCTTGAGGCAGATGCCTAACCTCTGTATTCCCGATACCACATTATATGTGCCAACTTCAATCAGTTCATGATATTGCGCAACCATCTCCTAACACCCTTAGTGGGCCAGTTATTCACGGCCTATGTAAGTATATTTCACTGGTCACGGTTTTACTCTTCAAATCAGTCACTAATGAGTACATAACTGTCATTCCCTTTCTCCTTTGTTCCAAAGTAATCCGTAGCTAAATAATATCGTTACCGATCCATTAAATGAATAGCACTATTTGTAGTATAAATATCTGCGAAGATCAGGTGTGTCATACATGCCGTGAAAAAACATTGTAACGTCTGAAGATCATTCAGTTGACCTTTAAGGGTTTATTAGCTTTTATGAAGTGAAGCTTTTTTTAGGAGGTATGGGTTTTTGAAAGAACAGGGAGAAGACGTAATTGATCTGAAAAATGTGATGTATTTGCTCTTTACATTTCGAACTATCTGGTCACACATATACGTATCAACACATTTTATATCAAGATCAATCAGACATCAATGAAATAAAAGTTCAAATAGACATATAGTAATATTTGTAAATGAAGGAGAGAGAAAATTAACGTAATATAGAAAAAATAAGAAAGGGTAGGAAAATTGTCACATTACCTTAAGCTTAAAGATTACCAGGGTAAATTCAAGGTTATAACAAATTGTTTCTTTATACATAAGGGACGTTTTAATTTACGAATAGTCAAGGCTTCTATGAACCTCAAAATCCGTCCTTCAACGTTTCTATACAATGTTTTGATATCATTCTTATACCCTGTCTCAATTATGTGTTTTGCTATCGATCAACAAGGTTTTCTGTTTCCCATGTTTATCGGTTCATCTGAAGTTAACAGATTTTGAAGCCACTTCGGAACATGTTTCATAACCATTGACTGCAAAGTCCGATTAATCCTCCATGTTTCATTCAGTTGGAAATAGTAAAGTGATATAAACATTTTTCTTTTCAGCAGAATGAAAAACAGGCTTTTGTCTTAACTGGTTTGTACATCTATTGATGAAAATTATCAGATAACCGTTTAACATCAATGTTTTAGTCAAGGATTTCGCATCGTCTTCAAATGTTTCCGTGGAGCATATTGTTCGTACCCTGCAGTGGACAATAACTGTTGAAATTTAAATACTGTTCAGCCTAGGTTGACTCTTTATAAACTGAACGATCTATAATTCCGTTTTCCCTTTCAACTCAACGGTATGTCTAAAAAGGGCTATGGGTTATTACTTACTGCTTCATGGGTTAGGACAATGTGGTTCTGAAGACTATTGAAATTATTCAGTACTGGAGAGGCATTGAGTACATTATCGCATATCAACAAAATATTATCAATATATCTCCTGTGCACACTAGACCAAATTGATCAAAATCAAATCCTTCTTACACCCCCTAATATCTCTCTTATCTCTAGGACTAACTCTGGTCGCATTCCTTCAGCTCACTGCATCGTTAACGCAAACAATCCGAGTTCACGAAACGTCGTTCCTGGTTTCCTTAAACCCCGTTCTAAACTACATGTTGGAGCATTTAATTTACGGACACTGTGTCAAATAGGGAAACAGGCATCATTAGCTACGACTTTAGAATCTCGCTCAATTGATCTGTGCTGCGTCTCGGAAACGCGCATACAGGATCCTAGTAAAAACATTAATCTGATTTCACCTTATCAAAACAAAGAAGCAGCCCGATTTACTCTTCGTATATCTGGAAGCCCTGATGCTGCTTCCAGGGGTCTTGCTGGTGTAGGTATAGTATTGAGTCATAGGGCAGAACTAGCCCTCCTAGACTAGATCCCAGTAGATAGTCGCTTGTGCGCTGTCCGACTGAACAGGAGAGTAAGGATTCGTTGCCTTTTCGTCGCATCTGCCTATGCCATAACTGACTGCAGTTCAGACGAGGTGAAAGATGAGTTTTACAAAATGCTTTCGAACATCCTCCAAAAAGCTAGGGACTCCGATGTAGTAATAATGGCTGGTGACTTTCATGCTCAAGTAGGTAGACAAGATTAAAAGATGAGCAGGAGAGACACCTTGGTGGATGTTATGGTGTCGCGGCTCAGATAACCGCCTATTTCTAGCAAACACTAACTTTAGGCATTAGAAAAAACATATGTTGACTTGGCGACCCCCCAAAGTCGTCTCAACTCTGCACCCAACTAGATCACATTGCTATCAGCCACCGATGGAGAGGTTCCATAGAGGACTGTCGCTCGTTCTGGGGGACATGTTTAGATTCAGATCATGCCCTAGTGCGAGCGCGTATTTGTTTGAGGCTTACTGGACGTAGGAAAGACACCACAAGGAGACCTCTTTGGGTCCTGCTTAATGATAATCAAGCTAAGAAAATATTTCAGGAACAACTAGAAAGAGAGTTAGGCAACCATGTAAGTGATTCCCATCCAGAAGCAGCTTGATAAAAACGGCTGTCGAAACTGATATCTTCTAGTAAGTTAAACCATAAGGCTAGGAATAAGCCGTGGATCTCAGTAGCATTCACCGAACTGACAGAGTCTTGAAAACTCATCCTACCTGACTCTTAAGCGCAAGCTAATAAAAAGCCTACGTAACGACCGCGAACAGTAGTGGTTGGCGAAATCAATAGAGATGGAAAATGCAGCGGCGATCGGCAACACTAGACAACTTTTCCGCCTTATTAAAGAAACTGGTATTAAGAACCCGAATGTGAGTGAGACTATTTCGGAAAAGAATGGTCTTATTATCCATTCTCAATCCAGGAGACTGGACCGATGGGCAGAACACTTTAGGGATCAGTTCAACTGGCCACGAGCCACTCTTCGGTTACCCACGATCTCCAGTCATCCTGAATGGCAAGTCGACCTAAGTCCCTCTAGTCTTAAGGAAGTTGAGAAAGCGTTAGGAAATCTGGAGCGAGAACGAGCTGCAGGTCCTGATAGACTGACCCCTGAGATATTTAAGGATGGTGGTCCAGTTTTAGCAGCTAGGTTGACTGAGATCTTAGGTAGAATCTGGGAACTGGACGTAATCCCATCCGACTGGTCTCAATCCTTGATTGTCCCAATCTATAAGAAAGGACACAAGTCTTTTTGTGACAATCACAGGGGAATAAGTCTAACTAATATAGTATCTAAAATATTGGCCTCAATAATACTTCGACGCTTAACGAAAGCTCGTGAAGAGCAGACTCGAGAAAACCAGTCTGGTTTTCGATCTGGACGTGGCTGTATAGACCACGTCTTCACACTCAGACAGGTCCTGAAACATTTAGGCGTCCGACAAAAGTTGTCTTCCTGGACCTTAGGGTGAGATGTGACTCTGTTGATTGTGAGGTTCTGTGGCAGTGTCTGTCATTGAAAGGTGTACCAAAGAAGTACATTAACCTTATACAAGCTCCCCACTCAAAAACTACAGGTCGAGTGAGATCTTATGGCGAACTGTCTTCGGAAATCTTTACTTCAAGTGGTGTCCGTCACGTATGTCCACTTTCTCCGTTCTTATTCAATTTGATCATAGACATGCTCCTCCTAGATATAACCTTATCCTCGTCTGAATTTTCGGGAGTAGACCTTCTACCAGGATAACCGCTTGTTGACATAGAATATGCCGATGAGAAAGTCCTACTTTGTGAATACGCTGACAAAATGCAGAGTCTTCTGACCACCCTAAGCAACAATGCAAGCATGTTCGGGATGCTGTTTTCCCCCTCGAAATGCAAAATGTTGCTTCAAGATTGGGTTTCATCGGCACCTGAACTATTGATAGGGAGTGAAGTAGTCGAGTGTGTAGACCGCTTCACTTAACTGGGGAGTCTCATTAGTGCTGATGGCCTGGTGACTGATGAAATCTCAGCACGGAT